CTTTATTGCCATTTGGGTCAAAAATTGACTTTGGCTGAGCAAAGCAGGAAATCAGACACAGGAAATGTGCAGATTAGGCAATAAAACAAGCAGAATCTCAAGCAAACAGACAAACACTCCCTGTTTCCCCAAATCTCTGCAATGCATGTGAGAAGTACAAAGTCAGCAAGACACATTGAGCTACAATAGCCGCATTAATTGGAAATACAGCAGGTTGAAACAAACCGGAATTCATCTTTAGGCAGTTTGTTTAGTGGAGAATAAAGATATCTTTCAGTTCAAGAATGTGTGTTTTTATTTCACTCACCACAGATGAAATAAACTAATTTGGACAGTTTTGTATAAAAAAAAATATACCTTAATAACAAAAAAATCTAACCTCTAATCATACCAATCACACAATGACTGATTTTAATTACAATTTAGAGACCAATCAGTAGCTAGCATGACACCGGCATATAAAAACTATAGTAATCAAAGAAAATTCTGGACTTTTGGCTGAGCTGAAGGCTTGTAGAGCTTTAACCACAAATTGTATGACTGCTTGTCTTTTGCTTCAAAGGAAAACAGCATTTGCTCCTCACAATTGTGACATGACAGGCCACAAAATACGATGTAATACTGGTACCGGCCTGATGTGGAGTACATGTCCATCCCAAGCAAATGTAACATGAGTAACTTTTTACCGTATAATTAGGCTTTGTGTGTTTGTATGTCTTTACCTGGCCATCAGCATTGCCAATAGGAGAGTTAAGGATGAAATCAGGAGGTGCAAAGACATCCACCAATGCTACTGCATCATCTTTCAGCTGGGGAAAGACACAGAAAGAGCAAGGCGCGAGAAGCATCATTAGCCATGATTTCATCATTTAAATTTATGAAAACAGGCAAAAAGTATGGATGGACACAAGAACAAGAAAAACCTAACATCAGTAAACAACAGTAATTTAAAAAAGAACACAGAGGATAAATGTGTGCATCTGTAATTCCAATGCTAAGCTACCACATTTTCAAATTGGAAAATAACTGCAGGTCATCAAAAAAATCTCAAGACCTCACCCAAGACAATAAGAAAAAAAAGATAGATCAGTTAAATAGAAACTGAAATATATGCCATCTTCAGGTCAAGTCTGAAGAGATCATAAATGTCACTCAAGTTTGATTTAGGCCCAAAATGCGACTCCAGCATAGCTTTGGTAGCTGGGGTACAGCGGGTGACGAGAAAATCTGGTTTTAACAGTGCAACTAGCTAACTAAATTACATGCTTGCAATGACTTCCAGTGTGTCTACCTATGACAGTTGATTGTTTCGCTGTGAGACAAGACAAAGAGTGAGACAGGAGGACAGCTGTTTCTGTACCTGGGAGCAGAGAGTGAGGATTGCCATCTGGACCAGCTCGGCAGGCTTCCTTCCACTCAAGTAATTACCTGGACAGGATCAAAGCTGCGTTACTCAAATAAAGATCTAGATTCTCTATAGATCTCTATATCGATTAGCATGAAGTACATACCCTGGTACAGCGTCGCCATGTGGTTGCTGAGGCACCACAGCCCATACAGGGCACACAGTTTGCTTAGTACTGGTCTGAGACCAGCTGGCGTGTCCTGATCAGTAATCAGCTCATGGAATCTCTGAAGGCAGTTGTGTTCAATGTAGGCGATGGCCAGGGACCTACAATAGTAAACCTGAAAGCACAAGGGTGGAGATCTGTGCTATTCATTTTTATTTTAAAAAATGGTAAAGCAGTGCAACATGAATCATGTTTACACTCGAACCATCCGCATATTATGGATAGGAGTTAATCTTTGTATATCAACCAAGAGACCAAATTAAATGTTGGATTCTTAATCAGTGTTTCATCTATGCCCAGTCAACTGTAAATCACAAACAGGAAGTAAGGACAAACTGTTAGCCAAACATTCGTATTTTTTTGGACATTTCTTTATGACCAGTTTATCATCTTTCTAATGGCTTCTTTAATGAGGATAATGCATGTGTCAAAGCAAAAGTCTTCTCAAACTGGTTTAACTGACATGACAGTGGGTTCGGTGGCCCCTCCAGTCACAATGTAGTACAACACCTCTGAGATGTGGTAGAACAGTGGATTTACAACATGAATGTGCAGCTAACATGTTGGCAAAAAGGATGCGATGAATCACATCAACACGGAGTCATAGCTCAGAGAAAAGTTTCCAGCATCTTGTGGAATCCATGAAAAAGGACAGAGGCTGTTTCAAAGTGCCTACGGAATCTTAATGTAAACCTGGTTTTGCTATGTAGTCCTGCGATGGCATTATACACCACATGAAATCCAGCATGCTATTATAGAACAGAGTGTTGCGGAGCTGTGTCTTATTGGAATTGAGGAATCAAGTGTTACTATATAATCAAACATGTAAATGTACACAAAGACTGAGAACATAACTCTCCAGAGACTGTTAAAAATACAATAATGACCATTTTTACATGTGGAAACGTCATGCTCACAAAAACAGTTTCATTATATTACTGAATCCTGTGACACACAGTTCCAAGAACTACAACACACACCCATCTGACACTGTAACCTCCAGCCTGCATGTGTGACAATAAATATAAACCAGATGGCTGCAGCCAAGACACTATGAAACAGATAAATGTTTAAAAAGTTTGGTGCCTTTGTATGACAACACATCACACCGATCATTCAGTGAAACATAGGTCATTTCTGTTTCTAATCTTCTGGTACAGAGGAAAACATTAAGCAAAATGTCTGTGTTCTTTAAAGAGGAAGTTTTATAGGACATCCGTAGTTTTGCTCTGATTTTATTGCGAATTACATCTTTAATGGCAGTTATTGGCCAAGTCCCAATAAACACAAAGGATACTGAACTGGCTATTATAGAGAGTCAGTGGGTCAACAGACAGACATGCCTGTTAAGGTTCTTCACAATGTTATGAAGGCTGGAGAAAGCAGAATACAATCAGCAGGGGTTTTGACAGATGACCTTTCAGCAGTTACCCAAAAAATGTCTGGAGTTCAGGGTTTTTTTGGGGGGGATAAAAAGCAAACATCATCTGTGAAAATGCCGGTACCAGGCACAGCAGTTGCTGATCCCTGAAGGCCAACTAAGGCCAACAAATGTGGTTGTGTCTTGTGTCTGTCCTACCTGGCTGTTGTTACGGGCCTCAAAGTCATTCTTGCCCAAGGCTCTCTGCTGTTCCAGCCTCTTCTGACTCTCCTCCAGCAGGAAACACACCAGCCACTTATAGGCTGCCACAGGCACTGATGTGATAGACAGCAAGAAGGATATGCACTGGATTAAACTGGCAAGCACTGGTAGGACAAAGTGAAAACCAGTATGTTTTTAAACAGCAACCACCAGTGAATTATGTTTTCCCATAATGGGAATCAAAAAAGAAAAGAAATACAATCAGAAGATTTTGTATATCAGCAGTATATACTGCCTTATAAAGACACAGCAAATCAACCATACAAACAGTGACACTGAGTAAAAAGGGTTTGTAGTTTCAAGTATCCTTCCTGTGTTACAGATTAGAGGAGGACACAGAAGTGGAGTTTTATACCTGTCCCTATCAGAGTCCCACAGGAATTGCTCCTGTCCTATTCTACATTTTCCAATATGCTCTGTCCAAGTGATACACAGATCATTGTTCTCTACTTGTTGTTGCAATGGCATCTTCCCCTAACCTGACTCAGTTATCATAATTTCTGTTCCACCTGAACCCAAAGACTTTTTCTCTTGTCCCCTAAAACTTGAAATTCTGAGGTAGGTTAGTGGGAAAAAAAGTGTTAAAATCAGAATTATAAACCAAACCACATCAAGACAAATGGATTCTACTAAAGTCTAAGGCTGCAGAGTCAGTCGTTACTTCCTCTCTTCAAAGGTAGGCAGGTGAGCTTTTAGATCTGGTCTTACTTTTTTTCTCTATTATGAATTTTTTAGGGCTGCAGGGTGGCTAGGTGGTTAGCACTGTCGCCTCGCAGCAAGAAGGTCGCCGGTTCGCGTCCCGGTGTGGCACCGGGATCTTTCTGCGTGGAGTTTGCATGTTCTCCCCGTGCAGCGTGGGTTTTCACTGGGTTCTCCAGCTTCCTCCCACACAGTCCAAAAACATGTTGAGGTTAATTGGTGATTCTAAATTGTCCGTAGGTGTGAATGTGAGTGTGCTTGGTTGTCTGTCTCTAAGTGTGGCCCTGTGATGGACTGGTGACCTGTCCAGGGTGTCCCCTGCCTTCGCCCTAAGTGGGCTGGGATAGGCTCCAGCGCCCCCGCGACCCTAATGAGCATTAAGTGGTGTATAGATAATGGATGAATGGATGAATTTTTTAACTTGTGTCTTATTCTGATCAAATGCAATTACGAAGGCACTGTAACGTGAACACTGAGTTTTAAAAAATTTAAGAAAACAGAAGGTGTGACTAAAATTCAGCTAAGGCTAACAGCTACACCTAACTAGCTCACTGAGTATTGGTTTTTGTATTTAAAAAAAAAAAAAAAACACAATCTTTGTGTCTGAAAAATGAAGCCAATGTAAAGGTGACTTAAACCTGTATTCCTTCTCACGGCCACCAGAGGGTAACTCCTTGATTGCAAAAAAATATCTGATTGTGATTGGATTTGATTTTCACAAGCCACTAAAAGACATATGACTTCACCTGAATTTTAGAGAAATCTATTGACATTAGACTCAGTGTGACTATACAACCAACATACAGAAACAGTGACGCTCTATCAGTTATCTCAAAGATAAAAAAGTATTAGAAAATAAAGTCCTCAAAACAAATTCATGACATGACGAACAGATAGAGATAATACTTTTCATTGTTTAGTGAGTCAGCGTTATTCTTTAATGGAAAAGTTTTGAATACAAGTTTTAGCAGAATGTACTGTAAAGCCTGGAAACAACACACAGTAAGAATGATCTAGTCCTGATAAACCAAAATACTTAATACCTGTAGAGTCCATACACTGTTCCATTGTGGTCGCTGCAAACTTGCTGTCCAGGATCTTCTGGTAATCATCCAGAAAATCCACAGTGTGAAGAGGAGACTCAATCTGCACACCATCTGAAACCAGACAACACACACTGAAGCTTTACAGATGAACCACAGTTTCACAATAATTCAAATCAAGTAAATCATATTTATATATATTACCAATTCACAACACATGTCATCTCATAGTACTTCACAGTTTCTATTCTGGATTTTACAGGGAGTCAATGAAGAGTAGCTAATGTGGGAGAAATATGATCTCTCTTACTTTTTCTTACCCTGTATTTTGAAATAGATGGAGATTTCTAAGAGAATTATTGGGAAATCCCGATAATAAGGAATTACAATATTCCAATCAAGAAGTTACAAATGCATGGACTAGTGTTTCAGCGTCACTCTGAGGCAGGATGTTCCTGATTTGTATCATATTACGCAGGTGAAAGAAAGCTGTCCCACAGATGTGCTTAATGCATCAAAAATAACTTCAAGGTTCTTCACAGTACAACTGGAGGCCAAGGCAATGCCATCCAGAGTAACTATCCCGTTAAGAATGCGTGTTTCTGAGATGTTTAGGGCCAAATACCATAACTTCTGTTTTGTCTGACTTTAGGAGAAGAAAATTACAGGTCATCCAGGTCTTTATGTTCTTAAAACATGCTTGCACTTTCACTTCCTGGTTTCATTTGGCTTTATAGATAAATATAACTGGGTGTCATAACAATGTAAATTTAAGCAGTGCCAATGGAATGCAAGGCTCCACAGAGCTGTGACTCTTTGTCAGACTGGCTACAGTGCTGAAATTAAACATAGGATTGTCCTTCCTTACCTCTGTTAGAGATAAATAAACAGGTCTTATGCTCCGGACTGCTTTTTCATATGTGATTAAACAGTCTTTCCAGGCTAAGTGAAATCCTTCTGAATTTTTGGACCATAACAAGACTCAAAGTTAGGATTCAAACGCAGGATTCAAGAGTGGAAGTGAACAAAAGTATTTATCCACAAAAACTGTAAAATATGACACAAAAACTCAGCAGAGCTAGAATACCTTTCTTCCGGTCACTGGACAGAAAAAGCACGCAAACAAAAAATCACAGTAAAACTGGAGAGATAAATGAGTAATAAAAAAATCACAGCATAAGCTGGAGAACAAAGTATCAAAATTCAATAAGAATTCAGGAGCACTTAGTTTGGAGCTATGGACGCTCTCGACGGCACAGGAACGGCACATGAACATGACACACTGGCATAGGACAAAGGGAGACTCAAGCATTAAATACACACGTGAGGTAATGGGGAACAGCTGGGCACAATCAGGGCAAAGTGAACCATCAGGAAAACAAACTGACAACACGAAGTAGAGTTAACAAAAATCACATGGAGACGACTACAAAATAAAAGCTGCCCACAACACAGTTTCAAGTGTCAATAGCAATAATTAATGCTGTAGATGTCACTAGTGTTCCTGAGCCCTGAACCTTATTTGCTAATAACATTCCCTCAGGGAACAGGGGGACACTCACTGCTGCGTTTGGCGTGGAACCAGCTGAGAAGGTAGTTGCTGGTCTGTTGCAGCAACACATTGTTGTCTCCCTCATATGTGCAGTTTGGGTCATTATCATCTCGTAGATCACCCAGCCGGTTCACTGAAACAGAACGAAAACTATGGCAGTTAGGTATCTGAAATTTTGTGTGTGTGTGTGTGTGTGTGTGTGTGTGTGTGTGTGTGTGAATATCTGTATGGCCAACACTGACTAGCCAGGTATCCATGTCCACCGCAGGCCTCTCTACACTCCTGGATTGCCCTTTGAGCAGTCCATGAGCCCAGCGGTTTACTGGAGCAGCCAATGGCATGTATCTCCCTGCCCATCTCTGCCTGAAAAACACACAACAAACACTTCAGTTTACGCAGAATAGCATGTGAAAACACGCGACTGTATATAGTGCGGACATACTCACACTCCACACACAGACCTGATGATTGCTTACTTACTTGTCTGTCACTCTTGTCCCCCATCACCTGTCCAATCTGGAACTCAACAAAGTTCATGAAGATGGATTTGGAGAAGTGTTCAAGAGCGTACGCTGCTGCCAGGTAAGGAATCAGACGCCATTGCTAGAAGAACACACGAGAAGCCACAGAGCAAAGATGTGGTTTTAGACACCTTTCTTAACATGAAACAGTAAAAATGTATATGGATTTTGGGTAGACTTGCTTCCATATTTAATTCTTGTTTTAATCTGATTTAGTACTGACTTAAAGTCTTTATGATAACACACTTAAATAATATTAGTACCTTATGATAATAAAAGGTGATTATCACAGTAATGTACTGCTACTTCATTTTTGTTGTTCATACTTATTGGACAGTTTGAAACACTTTGATATCTCTAACCATGCTTCAAATTGATTCAGATAAAATTCTCAAGAAATGGCCACTCTGAAATCATAAAACACAGATCTTTAGTCCCAATTCCTGCTACCTAATAAGTATACTTGATGATGCTTTATAGTGGTCAAGACAATGAAATATACTTGATGTTGAATCTGTCTGTCACTCTGTTCATCTCTCCATCTAATCCCTCCATTCTGACCTGTAGCTGGTACTCCAAAACAGGAACCTCCCCTTTGTCCGTGGGTCCAAACTGTCTCCTGGTGGATGAGAAGCGGATGGCCACAGTCAGAGCCAGCTTCAGGTTGACCAGAGCCATCCTGGTAATGGACACCCTACCACCTGACAGGGCACCTAGAGATGCCCCGAAGCGCTTGTTGGGGTCCTAGGGAGAGGAAAGAAACAGAGTATTGGTCTTATGAACAATGAAAAACAAATACTTTATGAAAACTATATTGAAAATACAGGCCTAAAGCAAAATATTTTTGGCAACGAAAGTAAACCTGTATACCTGTGATAACTTGACTTACGAGTTAGAAAACTTGTGATCATTGAAACAAAGCTGAGTACAACTGTGATTGCATGAACATGGGAATGTTCAGGCCACTGTGTGGCCTACAATTTGAGTAGAGTAATTTAAACTTCATATATTTCATTTTACATGGTATGGCAAATATCCTGCTTACAAACTTAGAAGCAATGTAATTTTGGAGCGGCAACACAATTTTGAATCACTTGACATTTAAGTGGTATTGCACATAAGGTGTACTGACTTCTGTTGTATACTGTAGGTAACATAGGATTTACTAAAATCCTGTAACATGTTAGAGTTTGGAAAACAAGATAAATGGTGCTGTCCAACAACAAACCTTCCATTTCCAGGTGTGCTGAGGTATTTATCATCTGATCTTGCCTTTGTGTACTGAGCATCTCCAGATGTTTCAGTCAAGATGGAGACCGACCTGGTTATTTACACCTCTCATGGGGTGCTGGAGGTTTTTCAAATTTTCCAGGCCTGGTTTTCATTACAAGCTATCTTCTTACTATGTCCATGCATCTCACAGACCTCCTAGTGCCATTTTAAGTTTTTAGTTTACTGTATTAAGGGGAAAAGCTTGGATAAACAAACTGTAAATTATCATTCCAACAGCACAGCCTGCAGACATAGTTAGAGATGAGCTCGTAAACATAGTGGAGCATTTAACAGCCAACAAGCCTAATATTTCCCTCAGGAGCTGGTGGAAATTAAAAATAGAGCTAAATGACACAGCTCCCTAATGGGTAAATAAACAGCAATTTGCTCAGAGTTAAGCTAGCATTATGAGTTAAAAAGGTTAAAAAAGTGAATAATGTGCTCTTAACTTGTTTCCACTGCCCCCAAGCCGCCAAAAAAACAAAAAAACAAAACTATAACTGCAGTAAATACACGTGTCAAATTTAATTTGGTATTAGCAGCCACCTAATCTTAAATAACTAGGATCATAATTTGGGCAACAAGACTTGTTAGGACATCCTTAGCTATAGGGACATTTAGCTATAAGGTTGGTTGTTTTGACCCTTGCATTGAAAAGTACACTAATCTGCCACTACATTAAAAGCACTTGCCTAATGTTGCGCAGGTCCCCTTTGTGCCACCAAAAAAGCTCTGACCTATTGAGGCATGGTGTGCATAGACGTCTCAAGTTGTCCTGTGCTATTAGGTGCCAAGATGTTAGCAACAGATCCTTTAAGTCTTTAAGTTACCACAGATGCTCGATCAGGTAAGCTCTAGGGAATTTAGAAATCACATCAACACCTTAAACTCTTTGTCATGTTCTCCAAACCATTCGTGAATCTCCAGCATTACCCTGCTAAAAGAGGCCACTGCCATCAGGGACAAGGGATGTGTCCAAAAAATTCAAGTTACTATGGAAACTAGGAAGCCACTCTATTGATGTTGTGCTGGTACAAGAGAGGCTTTTGGGCAAACCCGGAGGAGGCCAACCTAAGTGACACAGCTGGTACTTTTCCAGAGTAAAGAAAGGATGGTTTCAGCGTAAAGGGGGAAAAAAAACAATGAGAGCGCAGATGAGGACGCCTTCTTCACCAAACACCAAAACACTTATTAGGAAGGAACTGAACATTACCAGGTTTCAGTTGTAGTCAATTCAAAGCTGCATCCACATAAATGTCAGGATTGACAGTTTCCCAGCAAAACATTGCACAGAGCACCAACCAGCCTCTGTTGGCTTGCATTCCTTGCACAGTGCAAGACATGTAATTCATCCGACCAAGCCCCCTTCTTCCATTGCATCATGGTCTTGTTTTGACACTTACATGACCACTGTAGGTGCTTTCGGTGCTAAGCCCGGTACAGCATGGACACTCTGACTGGTCTGCAGCTACATACCCCCTTGCACAACAGGCTGTGATGAACTCTGTGTTCTGATATCTTTCTGTTATAGCAGCATGGTGGTTTTCAGCTATCTGTGGTACAGGAGCTCTTCTGTGAAATTAGACAGGCCAGCCCTCACTTTCCCTCAAGCGTTATGAGCCTTTGGCGTCCATAGCCCTGTCTCTGGTTGTGGACTGTAAATCGATATGTCTGAGAACTGCAGAATTTATGATAATTCACACAGTCATAGATCAACTTTCAAAAACTATTTCGCAGGAATGCTTCTTTTTTTAAAACTTGGTGCATGGAATATCATTCTTTGGCAACCATAGGAAATGCACACTGACCTTGAATGGTGTTATGTACCGTCCATCAGGGTTAACATCTCCCGTCCTATTCAGCAGATTCTCCCGTGGGATTCTCACATTGTGGAATAATGCAAATCTGTTGGGAAAGAGAAAGGCCAAAAAAAATGTTGGTTACACAGAAATAGCAGGATTGTGCTATTTCACAGTACACCCAAAACTCTACAATGAAACAGAAAGGTTTTGATTGAACTAAACTTAATGGATAGCAAGACAGAAGAAAGAAAAGGTGATTATCATCATTTCATCTTCAGTGTCACAATCTTGTAACTACCTTGATAGATGAAAGAATGATTATGTTAATTCTCATTGTACTAAATGTCAAACTAGTTACTGTACAGCTAACTATTGTCATTTAACCAGGACATCATGGTTACTGTATTTTTCGCAGTATAGAGCCAGGAGTAAGAATGTAACAAATTATGTCAAGTAGAGCACAAGAAACAAAACATTTTTCAACAATAAAGACTAAAAAAAGACAAAATGCATGATAAAATACATGATCAAACAGAACTATCATACAGTTAAATATTCTAAAACAGTTGCACATTTATGTAAACTGTTGTTTGCAGGTAAGAAAATAGTAAATTCTATTTTCAAAAAGAGAGGTTAAAAGGTATTTTTAATGTTCTAAAACCTGCAAATCTCTCCTTTAATCCTTTGGTTGGTGAAATTTGTGGTAAATTTGTATGTTTTTTTCTCTTTGTAAAGAAGTGGGATGTTGGAAGTGGGTTCTGTGGGTTGTAGGGTGGGTGTCTCTGTGGACCGGGCGTGTTACAGTGCATCCCATGGATGCTGATGTGTATGGAATCTGGGAAGTTTGGGGACTGGGTCAATGCCTTCAATTCTTTGTTGGATTTATGAGCCATTCTGGAGCACTTTCTGTGGTGTCGTGGGGTGCACTGTGCTGCTGGGGGAGGCCACTGACCAGGACTGCTGTTGCCACGAGGGACTGCACCCAGTCTGAAACATTGTTCCAGATTGGTGTTACATGGTAAAGGTACATCAACAGAAATGCCAGGACCAAAGGTTTCCTACCAGAACAGTGCATTGTAACAAGATGATGAATGTTCACTGTCAGTGGTTTGAATGTTGTGGCTGATGGGTGTCTGCCTGACATTCATCAGCTCTAAACAATGAATGGAGCTCCCTCTTGTGGCATTACACAGGTACTGAAGGGTACAGTGTCCTGTATGTAGTTGCTTCACATGGCCAGTAGTGTACATAAAAGTATTAAATACAACACAGTTTTTGAAAACACTAAGCTGACTTTTATTAGTCTGCTTAGCTATCATTAAAAATCTGCATAACAGAAATGGATTTGACTCAAACTCATGCCTTGTAAAGACCATGATCCTCAAACATAATATTTAACAATTCTAGGTTAGGTCATTTCATTTGCGGCATTAGTGACTTTGAGTAAAGCTTTTCTGTGTGTGATGTCAGCAAATTTAATATATGGAATTCACAATTCAAAATGAAAAGATTTTTATGTTTCTTTCTGATCTTCAGCCTGCATGAAAGAATTAGAGTATAGAGAAAGAGTTTTCATTGTATTGCTGCTTTACAACATAACAGCAACATAACAGCCTCTCTGTAGTTACTTGTGTTTTCTGTATCCATGGTACTAATGCAGTATATGTGTTAACAACATTGGTGAAAATGTCACAGTTATTTGCTTTCTCTGAAGCTGTAAAAAGCTGCACAATATCAAATGAAATTATATATTCCATTACTGCCTAAGCCTGCCACCAGGGTTGGGGCGTAACGGAATACATGAAATGCTGTTGCATGATACGGATACCGAAAAAGGTAACTGTATTCTACTAATATTACAGAACATAAAAGGGATAATCAGATTCCCAAAACCCTGTGTGAAATTAGGGATTGTTAGCATTGTTACAATTTTGAAACACATTTCTAGATTGACTAAAGAATGTTACACTGCCATGCCAGATTTGCTGACGTGAACTTTTTAGTCTCCATCTGCCCAAAAAACCAACACTGGTTCATAAACATTACACAGAGCAGCAAACACACACTCATGTGCCTTTAGTTGATGGAAGTGCACACACAAACTTCCTTCATTGTTAGTTTTGCTCTACAGTTTCACATTGGTAGCCGAAGTGTGACTGCAAAATACAAGTACATGCATGACAAAACACTTAAGACATCTTTCTGATATTTTATTCTTCATCTTTATTCAAATTGGAAGTATTGAGGTAATTGTGTCTCTACTACACCTTTTTTTTTTCTTTACAGGTAATTAGTGATTGTAAATATTCCTAAAGTAACTCTCCAACCTTGGCTGCCACCTACCCATTATCCAGTCCATTCTGGCCCAGCTTCTTTCCCATGTCTCCAACCAGTACACCAGGCAAAGCCAGCAGGGTTTTGGGATCTCTCACCTGCAGCACAGTGGTTATGACTTCACTGAATGTATGTCATCACTATCATCTCTACAATCTATACAAAGAAAAAACACTCAGTGCATCATTTAGAAACAAGGCAGGGTATCACTAATTCCCAATGACAAAACAGCAATACGATCTTGTTTATTTTAACATTATGCGCGTTAACGCATGGATTTAAAAGCATCCCTGTTAAAATACATATTCCTGGATAAATAGTTTGACTTGTACTGTGGCCAAAATGTTATCGCTTTTCAAGATTCATGCTCTTTTTAGGTCCTTTTGAGACTGTTATCATGTTGTGTATGATGCTGAAATGATAACTAAAATGATGATTAAACCTACAGTGTGAGTAAGTGTGACTTATTATGAATAAGTGTTTTTTGTATTCGTTACGTGCAGGGGCCCGAAGTAGCTCCTTAGTGGCGATAAAAGAGAAAGGAATAAAGAATAACGAGCTTCTAAGTCCTAACTTTATGACTTGTGCTTTTTATCTGAGAGTAATTTACAAAGCACTTTAGTAGTGTCCCATCAAAGCATGTTGCTTGTATCGGCTGGAGATGTATTATTTTATCAAAACTGAATCGGTTCCTTAATATTTGAATTTATTTCTCACATTCACTAATACGGAACGGTCAAAAGTCAACTAGTCATTTTGAACTTCAGCATGGATAAATAACAAACAAGGGATTCATTCTTTAATTGTGTCTGGTTAATTTGCTGATATGTCTTAACTGTAAAACCACATGGGCATGAAACCGAAGCAGACTAACTTTGACTTGTCTTGTTTGCATTCTTTCAAAAGCTCTATAAATTTAACATAATGAGACACTGAAGCTGGGACGGATGATTGACGTGACATTTCAATTAGTACTGTTACTTTGTTAATTATGCGGTTTTTTTAACTGAATTATAAGTAAACATGCTGTAAGTTGTGATGAATATTGTTCTACTCAACTGATAGAGACAATGAAATATAGCAGTAAGCTGCAACAAAACAGTGTGCAGATAATGCCGGTGTGCCACGTGTCTTATTTGACATTACTTTAAAGCAATAACCCTAACTATCTGTCTTATCGTTGCCTCCTTGATTTGCATCTCTGTTGGGAGGGACGAAGACATGAGGAAACAAGGAAAGGGATTGAGGATGTACAAAGCGAGAAATGAAAAAACAGGAGTCTCCTTAATCTGCTACCACTCTCTTCCTCTTCCTTGTGTGTCTGCTAGATTGTTGGCAATAAGTTTCACATCAAAACCATATCAAGTACTGAGTCCTGCTGCTTCCAGGCTTTACATGTATACAGGTATTGTCTAGAACTGGGTTTTTCTTCTTTTGTTTTCAAAACAAATCTACATGAAAGCCCAAAAACATAACTGAAGTACTGTCATGCATACGCCACACCGACAGGCACTGATTTAATTCTAACCCTAAAGCCACATCAGCCAATCGGAAGGATTGAAGAAAGGGAGAATCATATGTATGGACCTATTCTCACACATCTGTTTCTTAGTAGGGTGGAAGAGTAACTTTAAGTTAATGTGGAAACATGCAACAACTCCTCCAGATCATAGATTCTACTGTCTGAACTTAAAGCCAGACTTAAAAACAATGATAGCCATTCTGCATTCAATTATTTTGTCCTCTTTCTACCTTGCAGACAAGACAGCTCCATCTCAAGGCTTTGGTCCACACTCCTAGATGAGGTTCCTGCTCCTCTGCCACTGAAACCAGTCAGAGATAATCCCTAGCTACCTTAACACCTTCCTTTGTGGTAAAGAACCTTTTGCCTGCAATCAGTCCCACACTGCTTGTGTCTGCTTTTGGAGGCATTCAATCAAGGCTTTTTGTAACGCTTGAGAAGCGTATGCAAAAAAAAAAAAAAAAAAGAAAAAGAAAGAAAGAAACAGTACAGGCACACTACCATCTCTTTCACTTCTTTTATTTTACAGGGATTTGACTGACATCCTTTTCAACCACTGAGGTCCTCCTCAGATAACAAAGTGAAGGCTCGTTTATTTATTTATATTACCCTCCAGTCACTACACGAATAATTAATGACTATTTTAAATAGGATTTTTTTTTTTAAAAAAAAAATTTTTAAATAGGATTTTTTTTTTTGCTTGTTGTCTTCTATGTTATTTTATATTGTGATTTGTCAAACTTCACAAACTCCTCAAACTTTAAGAGATGTGTCACTACCCATCTCCCACACTCCTCATATGAACTACCACATCGAAATGTCATTTAATCTCATTCGGACATAACTGAGCTGACAGTACATCAAAAGTTGTTTGTTCAATCTAGGGGCGGTCAGCGCTTTGCTTTGACTCAAGAAATACAATACAGTCACTGTATGAACAGCGTCATTGGGGATGTGGCTATACTCCACCAGACCAGCCTTTTCACACAATTTGAAGGTATAACATTAGAAATAACTTAAAGCAATGTGAAGAATGCATACAAATATAACACAGTAATGGTAATTTATCGTTGTCTACTCAAGCAAGTTTGAGAAGTATGCTGGATTTAAACTACTTCAACAATTACAATTACTCAAAAGGTATTTAAGTACATGTAAATGTTGCGATCCACTTCTGGTGTTCCGCACTGTCACTTAAAATGAATATTGTAGCAAGTGACTTATAACTAATAACTAGCTGTTTTCATCACTTACACTTACACAACCTATTGTGTGCTTTAAGTTCATTTCACAAGTCAGAACAACACAGACAGAAGAAAATGTAGGCAATACTGTGTTATCTGAGATGTGTGACCTCACATCAGATAGCAGTGTTTGATAAAGACCAGCTGTTTCTTCAACAAGGGTCAATGGTCAGAGTCTTACCGGTACAACAAAGGAGTGCAGACCGTGGCAGACCTTGTCAGGTGTGTAGAGCTGCGCGAACACTACAGCATGGGTGGCAGTCTTACCCAGATTCCCCACCCAGAATTTGGCAGCTTCAAAGTCTGGAGAGTTGATCACAAATTCCTACAGAAAACACATGCCGAAATTGATAAATGCTAAGCGTGGTCAAATCCAAATACATATCCTACTTGTACATTTTTACAAAATAAAATGAGGTTTGAAATCTTACCGGCATTATGGTAAGGAAAATGTCCCAATTAGATATTTTATGCATTCGCGAGCCAGATGTACTGCCATTTAACAGTTACACAAACATATTGTGTAATATCAATGTTTGGCAGTGTGTGGACTGACCTGGGTGGAAGGATCATATGTGGCTGTGGTCCTCATGGCTCTGGTGTTGCTGCCATGGCTTAGCTCTGTTAGTGCAAAGCATCCAAAGGTCTACAAACAGATACATGCACATACAAATTTACTGTGAATAAAATCTGTTCCTGCTCTGGAAAATATACTTAAAAACTTAGAAATAAGGTAGGGAGACATCTGCCTTTCCCAGTCTGCTTCGTCCTGAACCCTTACCGTCATGTTGTTAGTGTCTTCAACATATTTGTTATGCCTGCTAGATCCTGAATTGGCAACGGTTGTTCCAAACATCTGAAACAGAAGATGTGTTCAGCAGCTTTTACTGGAAAGACACAGACGTTACAGACAGGACAAAATCTAAAGAAATACCAGCAGCCATCATGAGGGTATGATGGCTGTAATGCTCATTATATACCCAAATGTAAACAAAATGTTGGTGAATAAAGATTAGCAAGAAAAAATTATGCACAGCCATGCCAGCAACTAACCATCTTTTTCTTTTTAAAAAAAAAATCAAATTCAGCACTTCATTTTTTATTTTTATTTTTACAGGTATTAGGTCAGAAATCAGCCCAAATTTGTCTTTTGTACATATTTTTAATCTGGTGATGCTGAAAATTCACAGAGACAACAGCATTGGTTGCCTGTCTTTCACTTCACCATGTCTTTAACATAACAGCATAGCGTAGATCTGGAGTAACTATATAATTAATAAAGTAACGTAGACTGGAGTAAAATGTCCTTATACTCTGACCACAGCATCTCATACTGCAGGTACTTACCCCTATGCTGAGGAAGTACTTGGCATTCAAAGCCCAGTCATACATGCCCAAACAGTCAGTGAGGACCAGACTCTTCCATGGGTTGGCCATTGCCTCTTCTTTTGTCAGGAAGTTGTAGCGAAAGAGTTGCTTCACCCTGCAAATTTTCAGCTCAAGCTATATTCTCTTTGTCTATACATAAGGCCTTGATATGTCACAGAGTAACCACCCACTACGGGTGGTACAATAACTGAATTGTTCAGTAATAAAAAAAAAAAGTGGCTATAAATTTTTTTTTAGTTTTTAGTATGTTGATACCTGAGGAAAGTCAGCTCCCTCTTTTTCTCAATAGGGATGTCCTCACCAGGCTGACGGGCGAACAGAGGATCATTTTCCAAAGTTGTAAACACATGTTGCTGCAGCATAGAGAAGAAAAAACAGTGTACAGGATATGTAGAAAGAGACATGGTACAGGCCACTAAGATGTTTTCTGAGCAACACAAATTACTGCAGTTACTTTTTGGTTTTCTGACAGTTTAATTTAGATTTGTTAAGTTGGGGGGAAAAAAAGGAATTGAAGTGTCAGTTGAAGTGTAGGCACTGAAAAGACTTTAAGTTGTAGTTAAAATCTCTACTCCAGTGTCCTGCTGCTGCTTTACGTACTCACTGACTCACCATGTTAAAGCATCTTTCATTCAGTCAATTGTTTAGTCTTTTAAAGCTGCTATCATTGTAGTAACTATATATTTCATTTGCCTTATAGAACAAAGCAGCAGAAACCTATCAACAAGAGGAAATTGTAGAAGTGAGATTTAAAAAATCCAAGGGGCTTACAAGAGGGACATCTCCCTGCCTCCAATATTCATCAGAAGCATTTTTTAAAAAAGTCATGCATCTACAAAAACAGACTAAAAAGCACCCATGGAATAAAAAGTTATTAATAAACAAAACAAAGGGGCATTAACTGAACACTTTAAACCATTAGCAGTAGCAGAGAATCTGATTTAACCTTGAACAGCTGTATTTCCTCTCCATCTATGAAGTTGAGCATGTCCTTCATGTTAAAGGATGCTTTTTTCCTGTAGATGTCCAGCGGGTTTCTGGAGAGGTCAGCCACATCATGGTCCATACTCTTGGGTTCAGACTGAATGGAACGCAGGGACATAAGGCACTTCTCTCTTTTTGAAAAGAAATATAAAAGAAAATCAGGAAAATCAGAAGAATCATAAGCAACTACTTCAACAAACAATTGTGTGTTGCACATGATAGCTATTAACTATGAGTAAGTTTCAAAACATGAGAAGAGATATGCCTTTATCTCACAGTGGAGAAATTCAGTGTTGTCAGCAGCAGTGCAGAAATACACACAAAAAAGACAGAAAAATTTACATTTAAAAACTTGTGCAAACATAAGTATAAAAATACACATAAGAATAGTACAAGCACAGAACATAAAAATGCACATTAAAAAACTGTGCAAGTCCAGATATAAAAATAATACAGTTCAAATGCAAATATATACATACGCAAATACATGTTGTGAAATAGTGCAAATAACCAGTGTAATATAAATAAATATTTCTAAAGATGAATATGAGTATTGTTTGTTGATAGTATTAAAAAGGGGATATTGCACGTTGTTGGTCTACTGGGAGCACTGGGAGTCGTCGAGTCTCACAGCAGAGGGGAGAAAGGACCTGCGGTACCTCTCTTTAGGACGGAGTGGGTGAAGAATCCTGGCACTGATGGAGATTTCCAGGGCTATTACAGTCCCTCGTAGGGGGTGGGCGGTATTGTCCATTATTGATGACAGCTTTGTCATCATCCTCCTGTCACCTACAACCTCCACAGGATCGAGACTGCAGACCAGGACAGAGCCGGCCCTCTTCACCAGTTTATTCAGACTTTCTCTAAGCAGCCGTGATGCTGCTGCTCCAGCAAACCACACCATCAAAAATGGTTGACGCCACCACCGAGTTGTAAAGTCCTTAGGAGGTCTTTCTGCACACCGAAGGACCTCAGTCTGCACTTCAGGTGGAGTTTGTGCTGGTCTTTCTTGTACAGAGAGTGAGTGTTTATAGTCCAGTCCATGTTTTTGTTCAGGTGAACACCCAGGTACTTGTAAGAGTCCACTATCTCAATGTCCATTCCCTGGATGTTCACCAGACAGGGAGGGGTGATTTTGAGTCGGCGAAAGTCAACTACCAGCTCTTTGGTTTTGTCCAGCATTAATCCAGAGGCAGTTTTGCTGGCACCAGGCCACAAAGTTCTGGTTTAGTTCTCGGTTCTCTTTGCCAGGTGGGATGTCAGGGCCACTGGTTGGTAGTGATTGAAGTCACTAGACCATGATGACTTGAACTCTGATACCACGCAAGATGTCTTCCACAGCAAAGGCACCTTTTGCAACATCAGGCTCATGTTAAACATTTGTTCCACAATCCCGCACAGTTGCCCAGCGCCGGACTTGAGGAGCCTTGAGCTTATGCCATTTGGACCTGTTGCCTTCTTGACCTTCAGCCTCTCTGTACCTGTGCTGCAGAGAGAACCACAATGGATGCGAGGGCGGTGAGTGGGCTGGGGGGTCCTGGAGGAGCAGCAGGGAGGGTGGTTGGGGTTTAAGTCCTTTGGGCACTTGTGGTTCCAGTCAGAAGAGGAGGTTGCAGCAGGGCTTGTTGAGTGGGGGTAGGGGAGAATGGCTGACCAAACCTATTGAAAAACCTGTCAAGGTCATTCACCCACTCCTGATCATAATCCAGCACAGATTGTTGTTGTCCAGAGATTGTTTTCAGACTCCTCCAGACACCACTGACATCATTCTGTTGTAGCTGTTCTTCCATCCTCCTCCTATAACTATAGTCAAAATAGTTTGACCCCACATTTTCCATAATACAACTCTGGATTTCTTCATTTTAACCTTCCTGCCTGTTAAATGTCCATGTTCATCAAACTATATGCATGGGCCTCCAGTTTGATTGTCTCTAGTCAAACTCAACCAAGTCAGCAAGTTGACAAGTAGACTGACCTTTGTGTAAAACCAGTAAATAACACTTTTGGTTGTACTACTACTACTAGTAGTAGTAGTTGTCTATGTTTAGAAATATTGTGGCAGAATGAGATCTTAGTGGTCACTACAGCACAGCTCAGGTGACGCAACAAAATAGTTTCCTATGGCTGGGTTTGATTCAAAGTAACCTTTGTAATTTGGCTGTTATCACAATAGGGCAGAGTTCAGGGATGAACTGTCTCTGCAACCTGTGCATGACTGTGTAGGTTTACTAGTAGCTCCAAACTGTTTTGCTGGAAGATGCCCACATGAAGTGACTGTCCTCTGCCCCACACACACCCTCACGGTTGTTTTCTGGCTGTCATGGCTGAGAAAAAGTGTTGTTTACAAAGTATCAACCTTCACTTGCACAGCAGCAGAAGCTCTTCGGTTGTCTGCTATTGCATAAAAAATCGATGTGGTTGAAGCCAGGGCATTATGAGAACAAAAGAATTGAGCTGTTTGTGAAAAATTGACGTTATGTAAACTTGTTTTACCTTAAGGATCTTCAGCTGCTCTCCCTGGTACTATCCTTGCTGCTGTCTCGTCTTCGTCTGTTTCCAAAATCAATTGTTTCCAACCGGATGTCCATGGTTGAAGTACGGGGGAGGGCTTTAACTCCGCCTTCCGCAAACATGACAGGCACTTCCTATCTGTATCCTCAAGAATAAAAGCATAAGGATGGCAAACCAAACCGCTTTTTTTTTTTAGCTTCTGCAGTGACAAATGGAGCAGTTGTAATTTTGTGACACGATATAATAATCCTCAGTACTGTTTCGTAAGTGTGAGGATGAAATACTAAATTACTATGCCATACTTCTACCATTCAAGATTTTTTTTTGTGTTGATTGTGAAGGTAAGTTTGTTTTAAGGACCCTAACAGAGTTTTTTATTTGTTTGTTTGTTTATGAGGATGCAGGGAGTAAATATTTTTAAAATATAACACTGAGTGATTATGAAGTGGAATCTGTATTTTATTACAGTGACTTATATTTTGAAAAAAGTCTTGCTAGTTTATCAATATATTTCTTGATTGCATTTTTCTTCTTTGCTTTTTTCAATGTTCTTTTTACATTGAAAAAATGTTAGCTTGTTTTAAAAAAGCGCTGTACAACTAATTTACAATAAGGTATCCTGTTAAAATTTTAAGAGTAGATTAGCTGAATATGTAATATATATAGTGTATATATAGTGTGTGATGCTGTATACCACATTGGTTCATGGTGAGGATCAACGATTTTATAAAACAGTGCTGCATGAAAAGTTTATTTTCCAGTTTTTATAACTCTGTTTTTTCCCACCACATACATGTCCTGTAGTGGTTGAATGTACAGTATGACGGCAACACTTCATACTTACTGGACGTGTTTACACCTACAAATAAAAGACAACCAAGAACATGAAAAATGTTATTCAAATTCACATCACACATGTCATACTTTGTTAAACAGCAGCAGCAAAGGCTGTTGATGATCCCAGAGGTTAAATGTTTTGATGTGAAATGTGTGTATCAACCACAGAACAAAGGCAAAGACCTTGTGAAGATGCTGGCTGAAGCCGCTAAGAGGATGTCATTATCCACAGTGAAACAAGTCCCAAAGGGGAGTCCTGTGGGGTGGTGTTGCCGCAGGAGGGACTGGTGCACTTCACAAAATAAATGCATCATGAGGAATGAACATTATGGGAAAATGTTGAAGCAACACCTCAAGACATCAGCCAAATGGACAGTGACCCTAAGCATACCACCAAATTAGTTACAAAGTGACTTAAGGACAACAAAGTCAATGTTTTGGAGTGGCCACCACAAAGCCCTGATTTCAATCCTGTAGAAAATTTGTGGGCAGCGCTGAAAAGGTGTGTGGAGCAAGGGGGCCAACAAACCTGACTCAGTTACACCAGTTCTGTCAGGAGGAATGGGCCAGAATTCCACCAAACTGTTGTGGAAAGCTTGTGGAAGGATACCCAAAATATTTCACCCAAGTCATACAGTTTAAAGGCAATGCTACCAAATAGTAAGGAGATGTATGTAAACTTCTGACTTTGAAGAAAGTAATAAAAATTTCTCTAAAATAATTCTCTCGCTCATTATTGTGGCGTTTAGCAAATAGAAGTAATTTCAGTAATCCTAATTGACCTAAAACAGGAAAAGTTGAGTCTGATTTAATGTCAAATAGTGAGAAAAAAAAGGTTATGTGTCTTTTTATACAGTGTATGTAAACTTCCGGTCTCAATGTGTGTCTAACTTTTTCTCCTTTTCTAAATCTTGCCCTCTTACAAAAACTAAAGGGTGAATCAGCATACTGTGACAACACCCTGCAGTGAGACAGCACGTTCTGTTGCTGATTTTTTATTAAACATTAACCTTTCCAGTGGTGTGATCGTTGTGAAAATGCATTGTTTGAGTACGATTACCTGACATATTTTTATTGTTGTAGTCATCTTCAGCCACATTGCTTTTGCTGCTTCAGACAATAGTTTTTTGGTCTCCTCTCTGTGTCAGTTGGGAAACATTCCAAACATTCATGGAGCTTTCTCAGAGCAACTGGAGCATCATCATGCAGCACAGCAAACCATGCTGGAGACTGTATACATGGACAACTCGGATCAAAGGACACAAACAAACTTGATATGCTGTACATTACAGATTTAATTGCAGTAAACCATATCATTGCAATTCAGATGTGCTAACTCCATTTGAGTACAAGTTCAAGTGCTTTAGAATTATTTTATGAAGTATATTTCTCTGCTTTTCTGTTCTCCTTTAAAGTCACAATATGCTTTTGCTGGAATGTAGTTGGTCTAGTCTAGTGGGTCATTTAAGATACTCTCACGTTTTATGTTAATTACAAAATCAGTCTTGTTTTTTAAGTGTAAGAAATAGTTTGAAAATTATTTGAATGTAATATTTTAGGCTCATTCTTTTTGTAGTAACAAACTATACTAATTGAATTGTAAATCACAATAACACTGTATTCCTGAAAGCTGACATAACCTGCCTTTTCAGCTTTGTTGTTTTTTTTGTTTTTTTTTGCCATTTCAAGGCAAAAAATTGTATATATAAATACTAAAATATTGCTTTAATAACAATTACTATCTTAAACTCAAAAGAATCTTACACACACAAAACAAACATTGTGTAACCTTTTACAGGCAAACAACAAATTTTTTAATCTTTTAATAATAATTCAGCAAATTCCATAATTTTATTTTGTCCTCATTCTCATTAAAAATATGATTTTAACATATATTGTTGTAACTTATTTCTTTTTTTAATTGTAATATCTTTTTCTTTAACTAATTACTTTATCTTGTTGCATTATAATATTGTGACATTGTGAATTCTTCTCAGCCTGACATAACTGTTTTCGTGAGCTGTGAATCTGACCTCAGCAATGTTCAGGAGTTTTGTATCATTCTTTCTCAAAGAACAGTGGCAACTCAGCCATTCATTGGATATGTAGCCTGAAATGCTCCTTGACTTAAGTCTGCAGCCCTCCTTAGTGTTCTAGAATGTCACTGTGCACCAAAAAGAAAACAGAGGGTAGTGTTCTATTAAGACACCATACTTATTCAATAACAGAAACGAGTCCTTTAATCTTCAACTATTCTTTTTTTCAACATTGTGCCTTAGTTGCACACCCAAACAACTAAATCATCTCTATGTATCGTCAGATTGTTTAACTTTGGACTGACTACTGTCTAACTAACTGTAAGCTACACTCTTTGAGATGATTTCATTACATACTTTTTCCAAACCAAACAGGGAATGTGTGAACACAAACAAGAACAATACATTGATTTACAACTGAATGTGCATATAACTTAGATGAAGATATGACCAGATTTCAACACAAATTTATTTATAAATGCAGATAATTCCATTGTTCCAAGTGTTCACTTACATTTTCTTGCCATTGTCGTGTTGTGATGGAAGAATTTTCACAGCAACCCACTTTTCAACCGTGATTCAATCTCTTGCTGTGAACTGCCACTTACCAGTGATGCATTCTTATACTTTCTTCTCGTAGGCCAGGTATTGCTTGCAAGGAATTCCAGTCTGGTTGGTGTTAATATTTGTTATCAAACAGAATTACCAGTATCCATCAAACAGAACAGTAGACAACCAAACAGCACCAAGAAACAAATATTTGAAAGAGAAGAAAAAAAAAACAAAAAACAACCTTTGCAATAAAGTGTCAGAAAACATTGCAACAATAAGGACAGTGGCAACAACATAACCCCTTTTGGTACTACCAGGATACAAACGAAGCATAAAAGTATGGACAGCCAAGAGGGCTCTGTCACTTCAATGTTACAGGTTACATAAGCAAACATATTCCATGTCAAATAAGTACTGCAGAATGAAACGAGGGCAATGGGTAGAAGTGTACTCACAACATAGAATATAACCTTTTTGAAGAACATCAGTGAAGTGTACTATCCTAATTGAAAAATGGTGACTTACAAAATCTTCAAACACAGTTCAGTTACCTTCCATTGCTTCACCAAATTCTTCCTGGTAGATTTATTAATTCTCTAAATGCAAATGGATTTGAACATTTGTATAGAAATACACCTTCACCAGTCAAATTTATAACCACAACATCAAAGCTGTTTGCATGCATTTACCTTGTCTGAACAATTCTCAGAGGTAATTTACCACAATGTGCCAGTGTCTGTCATGGTTATGATGATGTTGCTTGTAATGAAAAGCTACAATTCTTTCACATAGATGTACCAAGACCTCAGATCAGTAAGGCTGGAGAACCTCTTGATAACGTGTTTAGTAATAGCAGGTGAGATGCAGGTACCAAACTAAGTAGAGAAGAAAACTAATCCAGACTAACTGCCTTGGATCAATAGTTTAAATATACCTTTGGCTTCTCAAATAGTTTGACCCACACTTGTATATATGCAGATTTAAGTTAATTTAAACTGCCTACTATCAGCCATTATAACTGTTTTTCTTCTTTTTTCTTCCACCACTATCCTCAGGGGTAGCCCCTACATTTTCATTGCACTGGGTATTTCTTCCCCCTACTGTCACTGCTACAACTTGCAAACTGTTTCTGACTTTGTTTTTTGTGACACTTCAGCAGCCAATAACAGTCAGTAATCATATCTGCTTGAATATGCCAGCACAATATTAAAATATTCCATGATGCTCTGATGAACTTTGTAAATATGTGTTCCACATTCATTCTGCAACACTTGTAGCACAAAGTATAATCGTTGTGTGAATTCGTGTCATGTAGAGGACATCTGAAGCAGTTTTCTCTGTGACTTCAAATTTATTGATACGTTAATGAGAATAATTTCTACAAATGCTAATTCTACTGTACATCAGTCTCGGAGTAGTACTACAAAATATTTTCATGTCAAACTATAGCGCAGAGAACTATGATAAAACTATGATAGGTAGCCACAGGATGGTTTAAACAGTAACGGGAAAAGGACTTAAATCCTTTATTTAGGTAAAGCTATCAGTACCACAATGGAATAATACTGCACCTATAGATTTATGTAAGTAAAAGTAAGTCAAATGTAGTAAAATATAAGACGTACAAGTA